CCAAACAATTTCTTTTTACTTGAGCCCTTGATATCAGCAACTTTTTTCCCCTCCCTCCCTCCCTCATGAATCCTTGATCAATTATTTTTGTTATTTCATGTCTTACACTGTCCATTGTCTCCCTTCAGTTATTTGTCCCCCTGGGGGAGGGCTATATATCCAACCTTGTGATGGGTCTCCCACTTTATCCCCCTTCCCTCACCCAGCTGCCCCCACCATTCCCCTACCTTCATATTATTGCTACTCCCACTACTGCTCCTAGAGGTTTTATCTGTCCTGAATGCCAGATAATGCATATCTGTACCAATGTATGTACTCCGGTCTAGCCAGATTTGTAAGGTAGAACTGAGGAATGGTAGTAGGGAAGGAAGCATTCAGGAACTAGAGGAATGATGTGTGTTTCGTCAGTGCTATACTGCGCCGATTGAATTGCCCCTTCCTTGTAACCTTTCTGTGGGGGGATGTCCAATCGTCTATAGATGGGCTTTGGGTCTCCACTACAACCCCATTCTTTTACATAGGCTGGTGTGCTTCTTCCATGTGGGCTTATGCTTCCCTGCTAGATGGCCACTTGTTTAACTTCAAGACCCCAGACACTACATCCTTTTATAGCCAGGTACCATCACTTTCTTCACATTTACTTATGCTCCCATTTTGTCTTCAGCAATCATGTCGGGAAGGAGAGTATCAAGGAGTGCCAGGTTATTAGAACAAAGTGTTCTTGTGTTAAGGGAGGCCTTGAATAGAGGCCCAAAGTCCATCTACTATCTTAATATTTAACATCAAAGTACACTGGCTTCTATCCTGTTCATTATAAATTAATGTATTTACATATATACATACCTATACGTCTATGAATTTATTTTTTATATATCTTTTCATTCTGTTCTTTCCTACAACTTAAGGAATGAGTTAACTTTTTAAATTTCTATTCCTAGCTTTTAAAATGTCCTCTTTCGGAAAATATATAATTTTTAAATTTTACAGAAAATCATTCTTTTTTTTTTAAATATGGAACGCTTCACGAATTTGCATGTCATCCTTGCGCAGGGGCCATGCTAATCTTCTCTGTATCGTTCCAATTTTAGTATATGTGCTGCCGAAGAAAGCACCAGAAAATCATTCTTAAAGTATAGAAAATTTTGATGTCAAAATATTGTTTGGTTTTATTTTACATGTGTAAATCAGTTAAAAATATTGCTAGTTACCATGGAAAATGAACAGACACAAGACCACCTTATGTATAACAGGTCAAAGTATTGCCTTGTCCTGCACCATCTTAACAATGGTTGTGTTTAAGCCCATTGTTACAGCTATTGCAGCAAATCCATCTCATGGAGAATTTACTTCCGTTTTGCTGACCCTCTAATTTTAACAATCTTAGACCATTCTGTTATTATTCATAAGGTTTTCATGGTTAATTTTTAGAAGTACATCACCAATCACTGTCTCTTAGTCTGTCTGAAAGTTAGTTTCTGCTGAAACTTGTCGACATCTGAAACTCTGCTGGAATTTAACCTCAAAGCAACACTTAAAGCCATCCCAATACAACAGACTGATAGATGGATAGTGATACCTTAAGGTGTGTTGTTTCATTTAATTAACAAAGCTCTAAGATAGAATTTTCAATCCTTTAATTACTTGCCACTTCAAAGTAAAGTTACAAAAAGATTCAGATCCTGAATCTTTAAGTGCCTCTGCCACTTAAACTGTTTACAATTGCTTATTCTCTATTTGTAAAATGGAACCAAAAAATTCACCCACAAGATACCGTGAAGTTTTGTACAATACCTGGCACATGCTAGCTCTCAAGAAATGCTCATTATCATGGAGGGAGGGTGTGGTGGAAGGAGGAAACCGATTACAAGGATCTACATATAACCTCTCCCTGGGGGAC